TACCATTCACGTAAAGTATTTACCAAAAACCAGTAGCCATGTGACAGCAAATACATTACACATATTCAAATGACTGCACTCTACTCTTGCGTAGGTTACCAATTTCACCGACAACACTTTACTCCTGCAACGACGGCAATGTGATTTCGAAGAACCTTTTTCGGTGACCGGAGGAGCTTGGATTTAGTTTCTCCAAGTGGGAGGATTGGTTTCTCTGAGTAGGGGGATTCAGTTTCACTAGCTGAGTGGAGGGATTGGTTTCGCCGAGTGGGGGGATTCAGTTTCGCCAAGTGGGGGGATTGCTTTCGCCGGGAGTAGGTGATTTCTTCCTTTCTCCATCTCCTCAGTTTTCAAACATAATAAGGGCAATTCGGTCATTAGGCCAAAAATCAAAATTCCAGATTGGTACCCAATGCCTTATTTGTCATTTTGCTTATTCAGGTGCCTTATTTGTCTTTTTGAAATTCACATGGTATTTTATTGTCATTTTCCCATATCATTATCACGCGTTGAGGACTTTAAGTTTGGGAGGAGAAATATATATTGAAGTTAGAAATACATGATCTTTGAAAATCAATGATTTCAATTCATTTTTTGGGTTAGAATTTGTGCTTCAACTGTATACATTTTCAACAAAACAACCATTTAGTCGACGTCAAGTTTTCATGTATCTTTTTAATATCTTTAAATAAAAGTTAATAAGCTAGACATATATTTGTATCTCATTAATCAAGGGAATGGTTAATTAAGTGAATCATAATGTTAAAGAAAGAACGTGGGAACACGTTTCAAACTCATTATAATAAGTGGTAGTAATAATTTATCATTAAAAGAATAGTTTGATCACCTATAATAGATGAATTTTTTGTTTAAGAACTTTTTTGAAGCTAAAAACCATGCTTAAAGGTAAATTAAACAATGAGATATGAAATAGAAAGGAAAGAGGAGACTAAAGCAAAAAACACTTACTTAGAGTGAATAAAAATTATCCTAATTCTAATCACTTAGCATATGTTTAGTGCTCATGATCAAGATTAATCTATAATTTCATCACTACAAAAAGAAAATTTGATGAATGACTTTCATTAATGATTTATAGTATCAATGAAAGTTTCGCTTTCAACAATGATAATTAAAGTTGTCATTGCAACATCTCATATTTTGAGCCTTGAAGTACAAAAAATAGCCTAAAATAAACAGGCTACCAAATTCTTTTTGGCAGAGAGTCTTAGAAATTTTCTAGAAGAATAGAAAGATTCTTAGAGACAAATTACAAAGCGAAAGTTTTCTGGAACCAAGGGATAGAGGGAGATAGAGACTCCGATAAAATCTTAAGGGCCATGTATGAGGAATGATTATGATAATGGACCAAAGATTATGGTAGAGACCTCAATGAGATGATTCTTGAGGTTAAACCCTTGTAAGAACAAAACTGTGATTTTGAAAAATTTTGGGCTGAAAGGGTAAATATGAAAAATAAGCTTGAAATTTCAGAAAAATTTTATAAAAAAGAAAATGAGGTATAAAGGTCCATTTGAAGTTAAAAATAATAAAAATACTCTCAGAATGAGTTTTAAGGAATTTTTAGAAATATGGTTAATTATGAGTTATCTAAACAAGCCTAACTATTTAAAATATGAAGAGGCCTCAAATAATTAGAGAAAAATAGAGATGAATTACTTGAAGAATTATATGAGTTTATAAAATGGGTTTGATTCCCAAATGATGAGAAGGTTGGCTTTAAAAATATTTAAAGCCTAATTATGCTAATTAGAGTCATTATTTGGGAAATTCAAAAAGAAATACTTACAGGATGAGTTTTGGTCTGAGAAAAATTAGAGAATTTTTCTTTAATTAAAGAGAATATATGAGGTAGATAGAGTAAGGAAACATCAAAAAGAATTTTTTGGGATTAAATTATTATGTTATAATCGAGGAAGTCAAATTCAATATGAACTCATCTACTTCCTCATGAATGTGCCATTTGAAGCCATCATGAAGCAATTTATGATGAGAAAAGGAGAATAACTACAAGATAAGGGTAACAGAACATATGTTAGTGTTATCGAATAAGTCAAGACTCGAAAAATTATCCGATACAGTGTAACATTAGAAAATTGATGGAGGAATAACCTAGGGTTATTTTTGGACAAATTTTTTTTCCTATTTTCTCTCTATTTTTGGGGCAATGCTTCATAAGGGGATAGTATTGGAATTTAGAATTTGTTAAAGGGCTAATTGGAAAGGAATTGTCATGGAATTTTAGCATTTGTCAAAGGGCAAAATTAGAAAGGAATTGTCTTGAATTCCAAGACCACAAGGAAGCTTGGAGATGATAACACATGGCAATGGTAATTTTTGTTAGCTTTGAGGGCAAAATAAAGTATTTGGACTTATATGGAGGTTTGGAAAAGATGACACATGGCATTGTAAATCCTTCTAATTCTAAGGGCAAATAATAAAATGGAGATCATTATAAATACCCTGCCCCTCCCCCCAAATTGCATGAAGATTTTGCCGAACATAAAGGAGAGGAGGAGAAATTTTTGCCCTAGAAGAAAAAGAGAGAGAAAAGAAGAGGAAAAGCATGAAGTCCTAGGCCAAATTATGAATTTTGATGTAGTTTATGATGCTCTATGTATTGTAAAACTTGGTTATGGTCTTTGATGAGTTTTGGAAGCATGAAACCCTAAAGTAATGTGCTGTCCAATATTGATTAATTTATAAAAAGGATTGATTGAAGTTAGATTAATGATTAAGAGGGGGAAAAAAGAGTAAAAATTAAGTGGTTTTGTGATGAAATTATAAAGAATCCAACTTCCCCTTGACATTGTGTAATTTTTTGCCATAGCTGGGGTTTGTGTTAGGGGTTGGGTTTGATGATTTTGATATTTCCAATGTGTTTAGAATGAAAAATTGTGCAGGGTATAAGTAAGAAAGTAAGTTTGGAAGCATTAGAATTGAAAATGAAATTCTGCCCTAAACCTTATAGCTAGTGTTTTGGCCAAGGCTTGTTCATGGGAAAGGAGTTGGATTTTGTTGATTTTGAGCTTGGACAATGAAGATGGAAAGCAAAGGAAGCAAGAGGAGTTAAAGCTTTAAGGTAGCAAACTTTACCCTACTCTTATGTGCTTGGTATCCACTTCCATGGATGGCATATTTGTTAAGTTTATGTGATTTTATGAACTCATGCATTATATATGTAATAATATTTGAAGCATACCATAAGCCCGTGTGATTTATGATTAATGCATAACATAATGACATGTTTCCAAACATATCATTATGTTATAAAAATGTTGAGTTTACAAGCATGTTATGAATGCCAAGTTATGCCATGTATGTTTAGGTAGTAAGATTATCCCAAATCTTAGCCTCCCTTAACCAACCATAATAGATAAAGGATCATGAAGGAAGAATCCATGAAGTAAAGCAAGAAGACTGATAAGGAGAATTGAAGGAATATATTATGTTATGTTACATAATGCCTTATATTGATGTAATCAAGAACATGCCTATTGTCACATCCTGCCGAATTTAGCATTGATATAAGGGATGAAAAATTTGATTAAGGGCCAATAGGGAAAGAAGATTGACTAAGAAAATTAGGCATGGTGTGAGATCCAAAAAGGGTTTGGAGCGACATTTTCAAATTTATCGGTCCAGGAAGGGAAAAATGAGAAAAATTGAGAAAAATTCTAGAAAATTTCATAAAAATAGAAAATTGGTGTATTAGAGGTTTTGGAGCCTCTATGGAGGCCCTAAAAGTGAAAATTATGAAAAAAGGAATTTTTATGAAATTTCCTGAATACGGAAGTTTTTCGAGAAAGCAGTGGAAAATTGAGGAAAATAATTATTTTAAATAGATAGAGGCCTCAATAATTCCCGGAAAAATATGGAAAAATCATCTAAATATTTTTTTGAATTTATAAAATTTGTTTTAGGCCTTGGACACCCCGGAATTAATTTTAGGAAATTTATTTTCCTGTAGTTACACCGATAAAGGCCTAATCGGAAAAAATTCAAAATAAATACCTAGAGGTGGCAAAAAATGCTGAAATTTTCAGGTCATGTTATTATATTAAAATGTGAATTATAATGAAGAGAAATAAATTTTTGGAGGCCTAGAAAAATTACAGAATATTACAAAGTGAATAGTAACCGAAAAAGGTTTCGGAACAATTTGGGATTGTGATTTGGTTTGTGGGCCATCTTTTCAGGCCAGCCCAAACCATTTTTGGGCCCCACATTGGGCCTGAATTAAGCCCAATTTCATGAATAATCTGGACCCTTCATTAAATATTAATAAAATTCAATTTTTGCATAAATATCAATAGGAAAGTTCTGGAGACAAGACACTTGGCACGATCTGAGAATTTGAGGCTTAGATGGCAGCCACATGGCCACTTTTGCTAGCTAAATTTTGGCCATTGATCAAGGGGAGAGGCCAAATTTATTTCTCTATAAATACCCCCTCAAAATACCCAAAAATAGGCAGAAAATTGGTAAAATAAGGGGAGGTGTTGTCCATTTCATTTTTGGAGCTGGAGACTAAATTTGACAAGTGCTTTTAGACAAGAAATCATCAAGCTCTAATCAAGGATTCACCAAGGTATGTTTGAGCTTTGGTTTGGTTAAGATTAAAGCTTGTTTTGGTTAGAAAATTGAATTATTTTGGAGGTGTTTTGCTGCCATAAATTTAGTTAACATGCTTATGCTTTAGAGAAGGATAGAAACCTTAAATATGATATGGAATAAGCATGTTTAAAGGGTATTTGGATTGACTTTTGGAAGAAAACCAAGATAGGGTCCTTAAGGGTTCATTTTGGCCACTATGCTATCTTGGGGTAGGAGTTTGTTTTGATGTATTTTGATGATTCCAATGAGTTCAAGAGATGTTTTTATGTAGGAATATACTAAAGGGAAGTATTTGAAATCATTGGAATCAAAAATAAAATTTTTGGAAAATATGGACCCCTATTCGGCCCAGCTTAAATGAAAAGGAAGGAGTGTGATTTTTATAAATCTAACTAGATATTTGGATTCTACATGAAAAATTGTGTAGGAATGGACTAAGAGATTGATGGAAACAAGAGGGAATAATTATGTTAAAAATTAAAGAAAAAGGGGAATTAAGAACTTTTAAGGTTAAATGTTGTATTCAAATTGAATGATTATTAATGTGGCTTGAAATTACACTTAAATTGATAGGTTTTGTGGAGGAAATTCAAGGACATCATAATTTACTTAAGGAGGCCGAATTGCATCAAGGATTAAGAGGTAGCATTGAATTATAATTTGATTGTTTATTTTGCTTGTTTAATGTGATTATGTTGCTTGCTTGAATTGAGGAATTTATGTGGTGAAAATGATTGACTTTATGACATTGATTGTGCTTTGGCCAAATGCATAGAAACATATCAATGTGAAATTGTTGATGTTCCTCTTTTGGTATGATGCAAACTATGATTTTATGTGACTTGAGGATGTCTTGAAGTTTTATAACATGTCACATTATACTTGCTTCATTTACATGATGATTGTAATTCATTTTGCTACTAAAGGAGAAAGGAGAAAGGGGATTCACTTGAAGGATGAGGGAGCTTATGTTATTGAAATAATGTTTTGTAATTATATGTTTTTATGTATTGTTGTAAACTATGTTGAATTATTATGTCAATGATTAAGGATAAGTACATGTGTGAGTACATGTCACATGGTTGAGAAAAGCTAGATGAAAGGAAAAGAAAAGAAAAGGCAAGAATGGTATAAAGAAGGGATAAAAGTTGACTTTTTGGGAGTAAAGTTTGACTAACATGACTTTGAGCAATTGGACGAATCTAGATCTAAAATTTTACATGCTTATAGTTCTCATTTTTAGCTTTAAAAAAAGTGGTAATTCATTAAATTTAGAGTTTTGTGTTAAGAGTTATGCCTTTCCAAAGTTGGGCTAAAATACTGAAAATTTGAAAATTAACCATATGAACAGTACACTTTGTTGAATTTTCTGGTGCTTTTCTGGATGGAATTGAATCCAATTCTATAAAGAAATCTTAGCAAGCTTTAAGGAAAAATTGGAACCATCTTGTTTCACTTTTTTTAGAATTAGTTATGAATTTTCAAAGTTGACCAAAATCATATGAACAGTGTATAAATAGACTTAAATGTAAAGTTTTGAAATTAAAATTTTTCACTCGGAAACGTCGGAAAATATGTTATAATAGTTCCAATTGATGTATAATGGAATAATAAAGGAGGTGTAACACCTATTGATGTTATTTAATAATGAATGATGATGTTGGCATGTAAGATTGAGTATAGTAATGCAGGAGACTATTAATGAAATGTTGGAAAGGTTTCATGCAAGAAAATGATTGTTTATAGCATGTCAATTTCAACTGAAGGGATAACCATTTCAACATAAAGTAACAAAATTGAGAAAAAGCAAAAGTGAAGCAAACGAATGATTCTGTCGTCCATAAAATTTGATGAGTAACTAATATAAATCTTGAGCTTTATGAGTTGTAGATCACTTCAAATAGATGCGTGGGTTAAAAGATATGATTTTCCAAAGTTAGAACAGAAAAGCTATGAAGTACTGTTTTAACAATATGAATAATACCACTTCACATATTTTAATGTATTAAATAAACAAGTAAATGAGTCAATGAGTATTTTTTCCTTATAGAGATTGGAGACTTGAATAATCTCAATATGATTTTTATAATTAATTATGAATTTTTAAAGTTGGACAAAATATCTGAAATTACCAAATGAAGAGTACCCCGATGATCAAAATGTAAAATTTTAATTTACAGGCTTAATTCACGATTAGTCTGAAGTGTAATGCTTTCGAATACATACTAAAAGGGGTAAAATGACGGATGTTTCAGTCACAGAAAATATGACTTTCAGTGGTGATTTTTAAACTCACCAATAAACTTTTACCTTTGGATGCAACAATTAAAGTCGTCAATAAAGTTAGACTTTTTGTTTCTTTGTTGAGCCTAAGGTATCCACTATCAGTGGTAGTGACTAATTCCGTCACACCATAAACTTAAATTTTTTGTCATAACCCGAAAATATCACCATAGAAAGCATGGTTTTTCTTAGTGTTCTCTATGTCACCAACAAATGTAATTTTTTTATTTGCTCAAATCTAATGGTTTATATTTGAAGAACACTAAATATATTATTTATTAAAAAAATAAAATGAGGCAATAAATGTGTGTCTCCTCGCTTCAATTTCTCTCCCTCTCTCACGCTCAGATCAAGAAGAAGGGAAAAAGCACTTGGTCAAAACAGAAGACAAGTTAATGAACATAATAGGCCAAACTAATTCAAATAATTGTTTCCAATACTATCTTTGAAACTGCTTTATTTTGGAAACGTTGGCGAGGCAAATAGTTCAAAAGTAATGTAAAGTTCGTGAGACTAGCTTGTAGTGTTCCCACCAAATCCAGATAGAAGAAGAATGCTGTAACAGCCCCCGTAAGAATTAGTAAATAAACATTTTCAAAATGATAATTAATTCTTTAAAGATCAATAAATAAAAAAGAGTTAGCCAAAAACATTTAGATAGTAACTATGGTAGGAAGAATAAATCATATAATTAAGAACTACTATAGTTATATAAAAGACCTCACTAATCACTTCAAAAAGTCAACCATGATAGGAAGGATAAAACTAATCAAATAGAAATCTACTATAGTTATTAACAATTGATATCTTTAACAGAGTAGTAGCTACTATTCTAGAATAGTAAAGATAATTAATGAAACAAGAAATAATCAACACTTCATTTTTCACGCATGTATCAAATCCATCAGCAATACTATGGAATCTCAAAATACAATTAAAGCCAGTTATAAATGGGTTAGGGCCTTTGAAGCCCATCAAAATAACAGTCACTACCGCTCATAACAATCGCAACCAAAATAAAAGTCACATGTGTCTAAAAGGCTCCGCCCAACAGCACAATTCCATAATGCAGCAAAAAAGTTAAAATTGTGTTAAGTATAACAAAAAGGCCCTAAAGTTTGGCAATATACATCAATCAAGACATGCATAACAAAACAGAGGCTATATAGAGTGGAAAGGGAAACTCAAGCCTCAGACAACTTTCCTTTAGACCAATACCTGAACCCTCGCTTGAAAAATATTAAATAACCACGAGATGAGTCAAATTGACTCAATAACCACAATTCCAATTCAACAAGTATACAGGGAGTGATTACAAGATAGTTAACCAGGCAAAGTACAATTTCAAATAACATATAGGATAAACATCTTTACAGAAAACAATATATAATAATTCAAAAAGTAACATGCATGCACAAAACTTCATCAACTATCCTTATAACCTCCTTGTAACCTCTGACAGAACCCATGGGCTATTCACACATAACAGGATTCGTCTCTTTAACAAGACTGTACCAAGCTCTCCAATAATAAGATATAACTCATCCAAAAGTTACAGAGCTCATATCGAACCATGGGTTCCCTTTCCTTGGAATACGGAAAGGTGTCATGTCCCTTGGGCTGACCCTTGACCTGGCCAAAGGAAGGGTGATACCGAGGGCCCTAAAAATGTTAAAGTCAGCCGCTGGGAGCCAAGTGGCGGCTATACCATGTGGTATAAAATGATCAAACCTCTCACAACTACATTTCAGCACAACCCAATACAGCTCCATAAGCATTCCAACCATCCAATTCCACACAATCCAATTTCATAAAGTATTCTCATATTCAATAATCAAATTTTGTTCATCATCAACAAGATAATCACAAATTATCAACTTAACTAATAAATTTATCATAAATATATATATATATATATTTTCACTCTTTATACATAAATCACCATAACATATAATGATAACATTTATAATATTAACACATGCTTATAATCACATCAACAAGCATACAAGGTAAATTAGAAAGTGGTTACCTCAAGTTCTTGACACAAGAACTAAAAGTGGGAGGATTCAAGACTCAAGAGCCCAAACCAAGCTCACTCTACAATAGTAAATTTATAAACATATATTAATAAAAAAACTAATTAATATAACATTAAATAGTTTATTAATTAAATCCCCATAATTGTCTCACTTAAATAAAATATCTTTAAAAAAATATAATTCATCTATTCCTCCAAACATCCTTCCAAATAACAATTCCTAAAACTTCTTAACTCTATTCCACTTATCAAAATTATTAATAAGGTAGTTCCTTCCAAATAATCCAAAAATTTCCCAAAAGTACTTACTTTAATTCTAAGAAAATAGCCATACACTAATCATTCCTCATTTCATCATTACAAATCTATTTCCTTCTTCCATTAATCACCTCTCACTCATTAGGATCATTAAATTTTAGCATTTCCCCCCAATTTACTCTAAACACCCAACTTCTACTAGTTAAAGTCTCTCCAAAAAATCATCAACATTCCTATTTCAACAAAAACCCTCAAAGTTCAAGTATTGAATCCTTAATATAACCTCCAATGAACTAAACTAAAAGATAAATTTTGAAATTAATATCATCATTAACACAAATCACAATTTTCCAACCAAACCCAAACTTATATTGCCTCAAATCAACCATCTAACTAAAAATCTAAGTTATAAGGCTTCTATTCTAACCCCATAAGCTCTATTAATATCATAATAATAAATTAGAATCTTCAAATATCAACAATCTATCAAGCCTTAAAAATTTATTCTTCTGCCATAAACTTAGAAAAATAAATAGAAGAAGTTAAATAGAGAAAATAGGAAGAAAATGGCTTACGTAGATAACTTAGATGAGACCAAGTAAGATCCCTTTCTCTCTCGCACTCTCTACCTCCCTCTCACGGTCACTCTATCTCGCGATGGACCAGAGGAAAAGTGAAGACGAAGCAAAAAGAAGGCCCACTGGACAGGAGAAGAGGCAATGAGTACGAGCGTCTGCTTTTAAAAAGTGTCAAGTGTAGGTCACGTGCCCACACTTGATGCCTTAATATTTTTTTTTTAAAAGAAAAGAGGCACGGGGAATTACCCCCCTCCCTGCTTAGGCAGTGTGCCACCCACTTTCCATTTTTATTTTTATTTTCAATATTTATATAATATTTTTTATTTATATAATTTTTTTATTTTAAAAAAATGAAATGTTACAAATACATTATGAGTTTCATATTAGGGAGTCTCACAAATGTGACAAGGTTTATAAATCCAAGAAGCTCTCCCTCCTGATAAGCTAGCATTTTGGGATTGAACTCTCGCTTTAGATTTATGTTCATAACACATAATAATAGAAAATAGAAGATAGGATTAACTGAAAGAGTTGATTTAGAAAATGAATGGATGGGTTAACTTCAAAAAAATATCAACTTATAATTTAATAAAACTAAACCCTCATACAATAATCACTACAAAAATGTGACTTTTGGCAATAACAATAAAAGTCGTTGTTGAAAGCTAGACTATCAGCAACGACAATAATAGTCACTGCTGAATGCAATACTTTTAGTGGCAACTTTACATAGTCACCGTTGAAAGTGAGACTATCAGTGGCAACAATAATAGTCACTGCTGAATGTGATACTTTCAGTGGCGACTATAACAATCACCATTGAAAGTTTGACTTTCAACAAAGACTATAAAATGTTGCCACTAAAAGTGACACTTTCAGCAGCAACTATAATTGTCATCGTTGAAAGTCAGTGTCATTTTTTCAGTCATTTCTTTATCATCGATTATTATAATTTTTTTCATTTTTTCTTTAAATATAATATTTAACATATCAAATTATTAAATGTGTTATTATATCATGAAGAAATAAAATAAGATAATTAATAAATTTCCATTTTCAAAATTTTTTGTGCTTAAATTAATAATTTAATTTAAAAGGAATGATACATCACTAATATATGTATTTTTTTTTTATTAAAGTAGTACATATAGCCAAGGTATAAATGTTCCAAATTTAATGTCTTCATTATTGGTGTGTATACTTAAAAACAATTGTTTTAATAATTTGATATATAAAATATAAAAAAGGATGAGTAAATTTTAATAAGATTCCTTTTTTTAACTTATAATCAATTGATGAGAAGAAATATATAAAACTAGCTCAATAGGCATAAATATTCATAAATTTAATCAATATATCTTTAAATCTACACCTATTTAATTAGAAAATATGCACCTATGGAGTATTTGTGTTTCCATCCAGGTTTTCACAATCACACATCAAGAAAAAAATTGAAGAAAAACACTTTGATTCAAAAGAAAAAGAACAACTAGTTAAATAATAGTACCTCTAGTCTTAAGTACAAGAGCTAGTATAAGAGTTTGTTTCTTTTTTTGTTTTGAACATAAGACACAATCTACTATATCTCCTAATTTTATAATTCCTTTTTCAAACTCTCCTTTTACAGATTAAGGAGTATTCATTAAGAGATAATTTCCAATACAAAATAACCAAAGGTGTACTTTAGAGAAATCAACACATGTTTTCATACAAACAACTAAGTTAAGCAATTTTTTAATCTTTTTATACCTATATAAAACTTATTTATAAATATAAAACATATAATTAAGCCTACAAAATTTTAATAAATTTATCCTCAGGTCATATGATTTTTTTTCCTTTACACCTTAATCCAAACATCCCTATAAATAGATTAGATATATACATATTTTTGTCTAAAAAATATACTAAACATATTTATATGATATTATACAATTATTTATTACTATCTTGAAATATCAATATAAATCATACATTTATTCTACAATTTTTAATAAATTAATAGTTAAGAAATAAAAAAAATAAAAACTGAAAATAAACTCTAAAAACTTACCAATAAATTCATAGAAAAATATATAATTAATTTAGATGGAAAATAAATTTTAAAGCAATAAAAAAATACATATGACATAATAAGGTATTTTTTTATTTTGTATAATATTTTTATTTTAAAATTAATATATTAAATAATATTATCCACTGAATATAAATAATACATTCTCGGCCAAAAAAAATATAAATTATTGAATGTATTGTATTATATTCATTATATAAATATTTTAATTTATTCAAAAATAATATCATAAATATTATATCAATATATATTAATATTATATTTTATATATATTGATATAAATATTAACATTAACATATACGTTAATATGGGTATAGTTTAACGTATTTAAACATTAATATTTATATATTTATATTAGATATATATTAGTAAACATATATTGTAAATAATATCATATATGTGTGTATTTAATATTCCGATAAAAAGATGGGATTTCATCACAGTTCATATAGCAGGAGGCTCAAGACTACAACAAGGTTGTCATGGGTTCAAATATGGAGAAAGTGCACTTAGGAGGTGAAAATATTGAGCTACGACATGGCCTGACACATGATGTGGTGATGTGGCAAGTGGGTGAATGATGTGGCGTAATGTGGCAGGTGGTTGATGATGTGTCATTATTATTTTTTTTTTTGCCACTTTTAGCGGCGACAAAATATCACCGTCGAAAGTCACTTTCAGCTGTGACATCCAAAGTTGCTATCAAAAGTCACATTTAGTAGTAGCACATGGGGTCATTGCTGAAGGCACCTTTTAGTGGCAACAAATTTTACTGTTGAAAGTACACTTTTAGTGGTAACTTATTTTGTCACCGTCAATTAATATTAGTGACAATCACTACTGCAGGAAACTTGGTGACGAACAAAAGTAGCTACTAAAAACCTTCAGCGGCAACTTCTGTAACCACCAAAAGTCAAATTTTTTGTAGTGAATCCATGAGAAATATATAAATGGGCTATGTGGAGATAGAAACAATAAGTTTTTCATGCCTTTGCATCCACAAAAGGATACAACACATAAAGGGCTTGAAAAATACAAATGAGGAATGGATTTTTGATAATCATGTGCTGAAAAGGATGGTGTCATCTTACTACCAGGAGCTACTTAAAAGTAACTTAAGCATCCCTATTTTGGGTATACCCTAAATTGTTTCCGCTTTTAATCTCTATTGAAGATATTTACTACTACAAAAAAGAGTTTTTACAATGCTAATTTACGGCAGTTATTAGAAAAAATACTGTAAAAAATATGATGGTGGCATTTCTATAATTATAAGCATACTTTTAAAAGCGGTTACGGTTTTCCTAAAAACCACCGTAAAAAATACTTTTAACGGTGGTTTTTTAAATAACCGCCGTAAAAAGTCTATCAGAATTTTAAAATCCATCACGTAATAGTTTTCACTTTTCAGAGTCAGAGCTCATAGTCTCCCATTACCGTCTTCACTTGATTTTCTCCCTCCTCCTACCTTTGTCGGCGTTTATTCTTTGCTTCTATCATCTCTACCTGTTCTTCCATCACCGTCGCCGTCGTCATCGTCTCATCCTCTTTATTCTTATTTGTGAGTTTTTCACCTCCATTCTTTCTGTGAATTTCATAGTTTTTGTGGTTTGATATGATTATTTTCTTTGGTTAAAAATATGATGTTTAATCTAGGTTTAAAGAGATCTAATTTTTATCAGATCTGAGTCTTTGATTTTATCATATCTTTATTAAATCTCAGTGGCTTCAATTTGATGGTTGAAGGTGAAGCTAAGTGGCACTATTACGGCAAGAAAGAATCTATGTTTGCTCCATCAGAATGCTTTTAATTGGTGATAGATTATTGGTTAATTGATTTTCAGACCCCTTCCTTTGAGGCTTTGTTCTCCGGTTCCATCTTGATCAACAGGATGAAACGTAGACTAAAAAAAAAAACTTTTCACAGCGGTTATTTATATAACCGCCAATAACCGCCGTGAAAAGTCACATACCACTAAGGGTGGGAATAGGTCAGGCGGCCTGTCAGGGGCCTGTGGCCTGGCCTGTTAAGGGCCTGGTCTAGCCTGGCCTATTTAAATATAGGAACAGGCTCAGGCCTGTAAAAAGGCCTGTTTGCCTTATCAGGCCAGGCTCAGATTTAAAAAAAAGCCTGTTAGGCCTGTCAGGCGGCTTGGGCCTATTATTATTTTTTCAGAGTTAAAATTGTAAATTAAGCTACAAGTGAGAGTGTGAGACCTAGGTCATATTTGCTTCTTCCATTCTGCGAATCTTCTTGGTCTAAACAGCGCACCAGCCCCAGATGCTCACCTTCACAGTGGACCGCCTTTGAGCCACCAGCCACCAACCACTCGCCACCCCTAACTCAAAGACTCACGGTCACAGTTACACCAAGCGAACCATTGAATGATCTAAGGCCGAACCGTCTAATGGTCGCACGCCCCTGATTTCTTCCATTCTTCTTCGCTAGTCGACGCTGAACAACACACCGGAGGCTCACAGCGGACCGTATTCAGAGGCTCACAGCAGTACATTCATTTTCGCTTGAATCGATTGTCCATTGATTCACTTGATCTCTTCTTCCATTCTTCTTCGCTACTCGCTAATTGATACACCGAGTTTCCAGAGGCTCACAACAGATTGCATTCAGAGGCTCACAGTCACAGTCACAGCTGAGCATTCAGCTGGTTGCACCGTCGTGCACACCGGCACACACATAGTAAGTCGCTACCTTCCGTTCTTGTCACCTTGCAACTCTGAATCCCAAACTTTCTGCTATGGATTTGTCATAGAGCTGGGTTTTGAATTAAATTCTGCTATAGTCGCTATGGATTTGTCGTAGAGCTGGTTTCTGTATAATGAAAATATTGTTTAAATATCTGAACTCTCCTGAATACTTGAAACTCTGGTTGGAGATTCTCTGTGTAATGTGTATGAACGCTGGAGAAATTAAATCCCGGTGTGAGAACCTATTAATATATTAATCTGTGAAAATATCTCCAAACCTTAAGTTTTATGAGTATTTTGCGTTAATAAATTTCATTAACACACAACAATCCCACTCTAATGCTACTACTGCTACTTCTAGTACTCGTTTTCTGTGATGTGCCTGCCTCTCGCTTTCTACTTTGACAGCTAGCTCAGAGGTGTTTGTTTGCTCCTTATTATAAATTGACCATTTCCCGACTTCTCTTCCCCGTTATACTTCACTGCCTCCCATTGTTCCTATTCGTTGCGGCCTTTTACTTCTAGAAATTCGGCGTTCACCACCTCATAATCAGAAACAACTACTCTGTCTCTTTGATTACTTACACTGTGCCAACACACCGCCTTCAATGTAATGGGTCCGGATCCGGTCAATATTTTTCCCCATATGACAATATTATAATTAGTTTCAAGTGGAAAGTCATGCATGCATGTTCTCCTTTTCTTCGTTTTGTTTTAGCTACTGTTTCTGCTTAATATATATTTTTAATTTTATGTCCGGACGCGGAGTTAATTAGGACCCACATGGGCATTGAGCTTTTTCTACAAATTCGTCAGTCAGGGCATCTAGCATACATCCTTGATTGTTGCGTTTATTATTCATGTATGTAAACACAATGTCATATATATGGACAGATTATCCTTGATGCATGATCACAGATAAAAATAAATTATACCACACCTTCATTTTTTAGATACTTCAGTTAATCTATTTGATATATATATATATATATATATATTATATTACTCGTGCATCGAACCTATTATCACCAAAGGTACAAATTTTGAATTCTAAAAATAATACCATTTCGTGTATTTATTAGTTATTAAATTTTATTGTGATCTAATACATATTTGATTTCGTCTTCTCAGGTGCTTGAACAAGAAGAAGAAATTGTGTTGAAGATTTAATGCTTTGTGGTTTGATGATTTGTTGTAATTGTAGCAACTAGCAAGAACAAATTGTGTTAATTTGATAATTTTATATTTTCTCTGTTTGTATTTTAGATAATTTGGGTTGAGTTATTGTAATTTTAAATTAATTTATCTGTGTTTGCAATTTGTAAAAAAAAAAAAAACAGGCTGCTTAACAGGCCATAGGCCATGCCAGGCCTGATTACAAGCCAGGCTCAGGCCAAGTAAAAGGCCTTTCACAGGCCGCAAGCCAGGCTCAGGCCAACAGGCCTCACCATAAGCTGAGCCTGTTAAGGGTGAGGCTTGGCCTGGCCTAGCCTGTTTCCATCCCTACATACCACGGTGGTTCTTAAACCGCCGTGAAATCCTCTACATTTTACGTCGATGGCCTAGATGTCACTCTCAAAACCACCATAAAAAGCTCATTTTAACCGCTGTTAAATGTTTTTTTTTGTAGTAGTGATTGCGAGTCTAGTGGCGAAGGTTAGTGATGAAGAACTTAAGGAAACTGTTTTTTTTTTTTTTAGCTTGGTTCTTTCAAAGCAATGGAGCCTAATAGGATAAAAGCTCTTTTCTACCATGGATGTTGGAACTTGCACTAAATTGGTTAAAGACTCTGCGCATAATTTGGTGAAAGAAATATTCAAGAACCCCCACAAGATTGAGGCTCTTAATAGTACCAACTTGGTTCTTATTCCCAAATAGATGAAGGATTTCAAACCCATACCTCTCTGTAATGTTAGCTAGAAGATAGAAACGAAGGCGATTTGCGCTATATAGACTCAAAGTAACTACGGGAAAATGTGGGAAATCATCAGTGCACCTTTATAGCAAGCAAACATGTATAGTAGTAATAATATAATTTATGTGAGAAGTCGTTTACTTTATTAAGTTTAAGAAGCAAAAAAAAAAAAAGGTCGGGTGGCAGTTAAAGTACACCTGGAAAAGGTGTACGATCGAATTGAATGGTCCTTCATCAATGACACAATCAGGAAAGTGGGTCTTCTATGGAAGTTGTGAAGTAATCATGTCTTATATCACTTTCTCTGATTTCAAGATTTTATGAAATGGGGAAGAAACAGAAAAATTCACCTCCTTTAGAGGAATATGCTAAGGTGATTTGGTCTCTGCTTGTATTTTTATTTATATCATTAAAGATGTAATTGATGATGGTAGGATTGATAACTTGTTGAAATTCCCAGTAATTTGGCTTATTTCCTCACTCTTTTGTGATATTTGGAATCCAAATAATGCATATTTACTCCCTTTAACCAAAGAAATATAATTTGAAAATTTGAGGTTTGATTTGACCTAATTCGTAGGGATTATTTGTGCAATTCTCACTACAAAGAAAGATAGTATTTCACAGTGGTTCCAAATAATTGCTACTGAATTATGGATTTATAGCAGTTTTGCAAAAACTACTACTAATATGCATTGGTTTGACCGCAAAGGACAATGTTAGTAGCAGTTTTTTTGTGTATTAGTGGCAATTTTTCGAAAACCATAGCAAAATTATGATGCGCAAACTTTGTCCCACGTGGTGGGAATAGTTGTATGGAATTACATGGTGTAAGCTTTGGTTTTCAAAAACATTTTCTTAAAATTGCTGCAAATACATTATGTTTGTAGTAGTTCTCATAGAACCGCTATGAATGTTTTTGAAATTTGTTGGAGTGTGGTTTTAAAAAAATCATTGCAAATGCATTACGTTTACAATAGTTCTAAAAAAGAGAAAAAAGCATTTGTAGTGGTTTTGCTAAGAATCACTGCAAATGCAAATAATTGCAATAGTTTTTGAACTGCTACAACTAAAAACTACTGCAAAAACCTCTATCCAAACTGCTGCTAATGTCACGTAGTTATTATAAATACCCCTCCCCTACATCTCATTTGTTCTTTTCTTTTCTCGTTGTTCTTCCCCGTCTTTCATCTCCTCATTCCTCCCTCTCTTTTGCTTTATTAGTTTATTAGTGATAAACAAAATAAAAAGTTTATTATTTAATTTTGTTTCTTATGTACATTTATTATCATACTTATATATTCTTTTAACTTTTTGTATCTCTCTTGTGGATTCTCACCACAAGACAAATATTCATCCTTCTATCTTCTAAACATTTATTACTCAATCATATAAATATATACTTAAAAATTATTTCTCACATATTTAAATAATTTTTTATGGAAAACATATTTAAATAAGTAAATCATAGTATATAATTACATATACAAGTAACAAAGTGGATAAATAACAAATAATAATTTGACAATAACTTTTTTTGTGCATTTGCAATGGTTATGTCAAATTTTTGGTGAAAATTTTAGAGGCATATTTTGCAGTGATTCTGAAGAACCGCTGCAAATTAAAAAGAAAAACAACAGTTGTAAATTCAAAAAAAAACTGCTACAAATTAAGCACTTTAATGTCACCTCTGACTTAAATTTGTATCAGTTTTTGACATCCATGTGTAACGATTTCTAAATTTTGTAGTAGTTTTGACTACATTTGCAGTGGTTTCTTTATTTTGCCACGTCCATTTTAGTAGTGATTCTAAAAGCCATTACAAAAATATTTATAACATTTAAAATGGCTGAAAACGCAAAAATAACTTATGCAAAACATTGTTTTTTTTTTATAGTGTCTTGAAAGATTTGTTGTGTAGGAGAAGGATAGGAGCTAGAAGATGGACCTTAGAAAGAGCTTTTAGCTTGGCTAGAAAGATTAGAGGTAAATCATGAAAGCAGAGCAAGCAAGGAATGAAGCACTAAGTGAAAGAGGCTATAATTGCAGATAAGTGTGAAGCTGAGGAATAGAGGAGGAACACACCGTTAATCTTTTCCTTTTCTCACAAGCGATCGTTTCTACAAATCCTAGTCTCACAAACCAATGGCTCTCACTCACTGTCATACTCACTGTGCATTCCTTGCTAAACCTTTTGTTGAAGGTTTCATTCAGGTAGTTGTATGTTGTAGCCTTCAGTTTTTCACCCTATCAATTCTTTCCCCTTTCTTCCTTTTACCTACTCCGCCATCGTCTCTAGAGCAATAAAACCACGGGAGACTTCTTCCTCTACTCCATTTGAAGCGAGCTCTTTATTGGATGAAAAAGATAACCCAGTAAACCGCCTAACCCAGCGGTTTACCCGGGTTACGGCTGGTTCCCGCTGGGTTAGGCCGGTTTATGCCGGGTTACTGATCATCCGGTTTAGGCAAGGGACCGGACCGGACAAATGGCCGGTTTGCTAGTTTCCGGTCTGAACCGGCCGATCCGGTCTGGTTTTCATTTCCATGCTATATAGTCAATTGTTCTTCTCTGTTATCGTCTTTGTCTACTACCACCGACAGCCCACAATAATGAAACGGCAGAAAACCATCCCAACGCGTTTTCCATCATTCCCTCCTCCCCCTTAAAGGTGGGAATCAGGGCCGGCCCGGCCTTTCAGGGCTAGCGGGTTTAAAAGAGCCAGCCTTTCAGGGCCGAAATTTTAAAAATACTCCAATTTACTAGGCCCAGCTCTTAAGTTAATAGACTCAAGGCCAGCTCGCGGGCTTTTGGCTAGTTTAAGAAAAGATACTATTTTTTTATACTTCTCATATTTTTTTATCACAAAAATGAAAATAAACCAATAAAATTGTTAATAAAAGTCATAAATATGAATAAAATTAAGTCACAAATATAAAATATTATCATATATAAATATCCATCAACATCTAAGAATATCTAAAATATTCATCAACGAAATAACAATATCCAAAAATTTTATCTAAAGTGCAATTGTGTAATAAATAAATATTATCATTAATCTTTTGAAATTTCATCATCACTATAATCAATTACCCTTCTTCATAAGTATGTTTTTCTTTCGTAACAAAAATATCAAATTTTTCTTCTTTATAAGAATTTTACTTTTAAATTTTGCAATCCAGCTATTATTTTACTTTAATGTGGAAACATTGTTATTGAAACTCATGAATTTCTAATTCAAATTATAGAATCACAAGTTATATAAGTATAAAAATACTCTATTATCAAAAATATATATAGTTTAAAAATATCAACGCATATATAATATAAATCAAATTATTATTAAAGTCCAAATTAACCCACTTTTTAAACATTTAATTGGATAAATTATTGTCTCAAACTAAATAAATCAAATCATTCTGTAAAATTTAATTTTAAAATGATAATAATAACTAAATATTCGAAATATTATTAACAATGTAAAAAATTAATAATATTATAATTATATTAAAAAAATTTAAAAAACAAAAAATTATAAAAATGGTCTAAACAGGCCGGCCCTTTTAAGTCCTTGGCCCTCCAGGGCCTGTTTTTCATTTAAGGGGAAAAATTTCAAATCTAACCCTTATAATTTCAAGGCATAAACGGGTCGACCCGACAGGTCAGTCCTGTTTTTCCGGGCCGAACCCCCGACATCGAGAGCAACCCGGGCCATCGAAGGACGCAAAGATGCAGCCGTAGCACCCCACCGACAATCAAGACATCAGCATTAAAGATTTTGAGATGGGGGACTTTGACATCGACCTTTCCCTCCAGGTAATGATGATTGGGTCGAGGAGGAGGGGGTGGGCATGAGCAGCCGCAGCCTTAGCCGCAGCATCGTTCGGGTGTTAACATAGTGGGCTGGTATTTTATTTAGTTTATTATTTCAATAATATTTTGCATACTTTATATATAATTTGTTTTTCAATTTTATTGTGCAGTCAATGCTGGGAACCCACAAATGAGGAGGCTAACCGTGAAGGACGTCCACTTTATGCAGGAGGCCCGTGTAATTGTGCCTATGCATGATCGCATGAGGCAACCGAGAATTGGGCGATCATCTGATCAACCGGTACTTGTCTTATTTAGGCGGGCTATGCACCAACTTCCCCATCTACGTATCTAACTAGCACAAGATGCCAGCTCAAAAAAGAACGATGCTTGGGAGCTGGTGGTCAAGGTAGGTAATTATTAGCTTTTGCTTGAATTTAATTTCTTTATGTAAACTAAATAATTATTTATGAAATTTATGTAATTAAGTTTTACTAGTTAATTAGCATTTTTGTGTATTCAACTCCAGAGAAAATTTATTTGGAAGACTAGCTAAAGACCTACGCCATCAAGAAAATAGGCGATGGCTAGAAAAACAAGAGGGATTAACTGTATAATGCGAAGGCTGGTGACGAGACAAGACCCTTCTAGAAGATTCAGGATGACATACTAGATGGTGTCCTTACTAATGATTGGGCTTCTTTTATCCATTTTAGGACGACGCCTGAGTAGAGGGTATGAATTTATTAAATATTTTTAAGTTATGAAACACAGATATATTTATGTGCAATTTTATAATTTTACTTGTTTTGTTTTATTTTTCTTTTAGCATATTTCTTAGAGTAATGCCAAGAGCCCAGCCATCAACACATCCAGCATACGGCTGGCTCAAAGTCATTTACTGTCACATATAACGAGATAGTAAGTAATTCAAAAAAAATACTATAATATATGTTTCTTTGTGTATATAAATATTTTATTTTAATTATTAATAATTTTATTTTACTACCAATTCACAAGAGAGGAAGACACAGCAGAAGGAGAAGGAGGGGGGAATGCCCACCTCCGAGGAGATGTGGGCTCAGCTCCTAGGCACAAGGACGACACGCTAACATTCCAGCACGCTGCGAAAATTTATATATAAATGTTTATTATTTTTAATTTGATATGTAAATTTTAATTTTGCTGAATCATTTTCCCAGGAGCTTATGACTCAAAGTGCTATGAAGCTCCAAGAATCTCGGAGGTCCGTTATGGATCCCACCGCATCACTGAGGGCAAGGCTAGCCTTACCAGAGCACCTTAGACAAGTTAGAGGACTCAATTTTAGTGTAACTCCTAGTGCTGTGTATGGCCGGAGTGGTGGTCATACCTCCAAGGCGGGGACATCCCAATCAGCGGCAGTTTCACACCAGACTAGCATAGGAGTGAGGCGGCCGAGTGACACCTCGATGGAGGAGCTGCGTTTGGAGGTCACATGGGACTTGGATGCGAGCATGCAGGCCCGCGATCGCAGGCTTCAGGCGACAAAAGCTTCGAATGTTAGACACGTGATTATCAATTTTGTTCTTCCTTTTCGTTCTAGGAAACAGGAAACGCTATGTTGAGCCTCAACTTTGAATTTACTTGAATCGGCGTTTCATAAGTGTTTATATGCAATTTCACATGAGTTGAGATAAAACTTTTATCACATATTCATTTCATATTTTATAAATTACGATTAAAAATTTGTTCATAAATCATTCTAAACAAACCTTTTAATTGGTTGATTCATCCCTCCACTGTGCGCAGATTCATTTCAAGCGCCGTTAGAGTCTCCGTTAACAGGAGAATCTTGGAGGGTCTAATTAAAAGAAAAGGCATAAAAACCTATTCAAAATTGAATGGAACTATGAGAATCTGAGGATTAGTTTTCCCTTAAAAAAATATATAATTCTTGTCGCTGTTCCTTCACGGCAGATAAAATTTTTTTGGCCCCTTTAAATTTTTTTCCACTAAGCAACATCTTTGTTTTCTTCATAATTTAAGGAAAAAAATCCAAACCCCTTTTCAATGCACGAAGGGTTGTATTTAATAACAATAAATATCAATTTTGGTAAAAAGAAAATAAATATTGATTATTAGTAATTAATATTGGGGTGATGTTGGCGGGTGCTGGCCACAGAGCCAAAAAGGCAAGGTTATCGTTTAAAACACTTACTGAAGAGATAATTATTTTTAAAATTAACATGCAAATTCATCCCAAATTTTAAAAAGATGTTGCTAAGTAGGAAAAAAATAGCACCGCCCACACAATGAAGTAAAAAATAGATTAAGTGATAGAAAAAAATGAGTAAAAACAAGAGAGTAGAAAAAGGATGAAGCATAAAAAGGAACAAAGAGAAACCTTACCTTTAAGCCAAGAGCAATTATGTTAGAGTAGGGATTGGCAAAAATGGAGAATTCAAGACTGAAGTTTAGCTCAAGAAAGATATAGAGAAATAGAAGGGACGCTACAGGCAAAGATAAAAATGGTAGATTGGTAGACAGGAAAGGAAGGATCCAAAATTTGAAATTTGAATCTCTCGTTATCGGTCTCAATCACAAGTTGCATTGTTTATTTAAGCTGCCCCTACTATTGTTAAAGCAGTTGAAAACTTTGCAGCCATAGCCCATGCTACTATCTTGTCTAACTGCTTAGGTTCATTGGGACGAGTAAACACTTGGGCCAAAGATACAAGCAACATGCACAGAGCTCAACATGGAGTGCTCCATTCTATCAGGTGAGCCGCTACTATTCACGTAAACAGTAACTTTGTGAGGCGAGCTGAATAGAAAATGTGATTGGCTCGGCTCCTTTTGTGATGTAGATATGTAGATACTAAATTAAACCACTACTGTTCATATAAATATAAATGGTAATATAGAGCATACATGTTTAAGTTATATAGATACTACAATATATGGAGCTTTCAATTAAACAACACTATGCCGCTGCCAATAGTCTAAAAATATATTAAATTTTTTGAGAGGATCAAATTTTTCCTTTCTTTTTCCAATAGGTTTGTTAAGTGTTTTCAACATTTTATATATCATACCAAAACATCATTCGGTTCTCTAAAATCCGTTTCGGTTTCGATCTAGCTCTGAACTGCAGCTTAACATCAGCTCAACTCTACTCCAATCCAACTGGGATCATCGGCTCCAATCTGGTTAGTTCTTTAATCTCCACCTCTAATATCCTTAAACATCTATCAATAAGAGTCGGGTCTAGTATAAATGACTAGTTTCACAACATAACAAATCAATATTCAAATATATGTTGGAAACTATGTCCATATCTAGTGCTGATAGTGTCTCCACTAGAATTATCTGTAATAAAAGGATATCTGTGTCTAAAAAAGATATTCCTAAACATCTCACGGATACCTTTGGAACTTCCATGGCCCTGTAGAAATATAAAGACAACACACACGTTAACATGTAAAACCAAGTCACCCTCAGACTAATCACGGCTTCTAAAAATCCATGTGAATGCAATACGTGTCTGTAGGCAATGTGTTGAGACGCAGATTTAATGGAGAATATGATTTAAAATAAAATCATCATCATAATTCCATTCGCTGTAACCTGGAGGAGACTAGATTTATGACACTTTCTATATTGTTTGATTAAAATTTGTTTTATTTATCGGCCGCCCATATAATAAACGTGGTTGTCATAATAAATATTCCCTTTGGTTTCAAACATACGTCTACAATTATTACCAAAAAATATATATGTCTATAATTCAAAAAATTAACTTAAAATTTTATTGACTCTTCCTTAAAATTTAACAATTTTTTATATTTTATTCCTATTTAAAATACATTATATCCCATAAAAACAAAATCTATATAATAATGAATAAAGAATAAAATCGTGCATTCATCTGAAAATTTTGATTATATAACTTATAAATAGAATAAAAAAATCTCCTTTATTTACTTTATAAGTAGGACAAGAGGAATAAGAGTCTGTTGATAGATAGATTTAATTCTAAATATAAGACATCAATCTAATTTATTTTTTATAGTTGTCATTTTTTAAAGCTAATTCACTAAGTTATAAATTAAATTGATATATAATAAAATATTATATCAGGTTATTTTAGAAACATCATATGATATTAGTTATATTAACTAACTTAAACTTATCTGATTCTCTCAATCTACCCAAATTTAGTAGCTCTTAGGGGGGATAATTAGTATTATACAATTTTTATGTTAAATTTGTTTTCAGGATCTTAAAGTATTTTTCAAACTAATTTGCCAAGTGGTTCTTACATTTTGTGTAGAACATGAGAATATTTGTCGTATTATTTAATACTACCTCCGGTCCTTAATATAAGATCATGTTTGACTTTTATTTTGGTGCTAAATATAAGATCCCAATCCATTTTATCTCATATTTATGCATTTTTTTCTAAGATAGTCATTCTAATAATAGTAATTCTACCTAATACAATTGATTAGTAAGGATATTTTATGAAAGATAACACATATTTATTATAAATAATTAATTTAACTTCTTTCTTAATCTTTTTAAATTAGTCAACTAATTTTTATAAATTGGATCGGAGATAGTATGCATATTAAGAGTGAAGGTGCGTCAAGTAAGTAACTTGGAATATCTGTGAAATGCATTCATTACTCCCCTGACAAAGAAGAAAAGAAACACATTCAACGATCCAAAGGAGTTGATGTTAGAATTTTACTCTTAATAGTAAGAAATAGAGTACGTGAATGTAGGACGTGTCTGTGGGCGATGGGTTATAAAAACACAAACCATCATGAAAAGATGCAATTCCTGTCGCCGTAACTTCGACGAGACGAGATTCATGTCAATTTTTATCGACCGCCCATATAATGCACGTGCTTGTTATAATTAATATTCCCTTGTTTCTAATATACTGCTTCAGTGCTACTCCCTCGGGTAAAAAATTTTAAATAATCAAATGATATCTAACAAACTAACAATTAAAATTAGTTAGAAATAATAAATAAATCAGAAATATTTTTTCTAATTTTTTTTATTTATTAAGAGAGTAAATAAGAGGCAACAAATAAAAAAATGATGAAAGAGAATATATAAGAGTAATATTAATAAGAAAGAGTATTAAATACAGTTAATTAAGAACAAAGTAGGAAAAAAAGTAATAAGTACTCAAAAAAATTCAAAAATAAAATTTATATTTTAGATAAGAGTCATCTCTAAAAATAAAGTTTATATGTAGGACCGTAGGGAGTATCTATAACTCACTCTCAACGCGGTTTATGAGAACCCAGAAAAACTTTAAATCTCATTAACTTTATCTTGAAATTTAACAATTTAATTTTATTCCTATTTATTATGTAATATATTCTATAAAAGGAAAGTTTACGCAATAATAAATACAGGATAAAATTGTATGTTCATTTTAAAAATTTAATTATGTGTCTTATAAATAAGATAAAAAAAGTTGTTTCTCTCTCCCTTATAAATGAGATAAGAGGAGTAAGAGTGTTTTTTCGTATGATTCAGAATATCCTTATAAGTTACTTTAGACTTAAAACTAATATCTATTGGGTCCGAAACGTAGAGATTAAAATCCTCACAACAAGTATGTTTTCCGGTTTCAAACCTGTATTCTGCTCCTCATGGGGGTAACCTTCTTGAATTTGATGCTAAATGTAAAGAATCAATCCATTTTATCTTTCATATTTATTATTATTTTTTCAATCTAGCTAATTTATTCTACTTATAAACTGTTATTTAATCTAACATTAAACAAGGTTATTTTAGAGAGATCAAATCATATTAGTTATAATTACCTAATTCAAGTTCAAGCAGCTCTTATGTTACGGGCTATAGGAATAACTGATATTATCATAATTCCTATATTATATTAAATTTGTTGTTGCCACGTTTATCCTTCCCATGCCCTCATATCTTTTATAAATAGGCATTGTCCATTACACCGTGAAATCCCAAGCTAAACCCAAAAAACTTCAGTCTTACCCTCTTCCATCATCGATCATGGCTTCCAACAAACCAGTTCTCATTCTCCTTTCCCTCCTCACACTGTCCTCCATCGTCATCATCAAACCCTCTCATGCCGTTGATTTCCCCATGAGCAAACCTGGTTGGAAAATCGCCGTCTACTGGGGACAAAACAACGAATCCAGTGAAGGACCCTTAACCGAGGCATGCGACTCTAATCTCTACAACATCGTCGCCATCGCATACCTCCATGTTTCCGGCAACACAACATCCTTAAACCTGGAAGACCACTGTCCTCTCGGCAACTGCTCCGCCCTAGCTTCACAAATCCAACACTGTCAAAGCAAAGGCATCCAAGTCTTTCTTTCCGTCGAGGTGGATGCCGTCGATGATCCTACTTCCTTGGCACAGTATCTCTACGATAGCTTTCTCAGCGGAAAATTAGGCCCTCTCGGAGCAGTGACCTTAGACGGTATCGATCTTGCCCACATTGAAGACCGCCCAGAGCCATGGGACGAACTCGTAAGGGCGATCAATGGTTCGACCCAAGACAAAAAGATTTACATTTCGGGAGCCCCACATTGCAGTACCAGTTCCTTGGACAGTGCAATCGATACGGGTCTTTTTGATTATCTCTGGGTTCTATATTATGGCCCATCGGCTACGTGCGAATATTTAGGAAACAACGACTTCACAAATCTTCTTAATTCATGGGCAAAATGGACGTCAAAGCCAGGTTTAGTTAATAGCTCAGTGTTCTTGGGTTTAGTAGCGTCAAATGAGACGTCCGCAGCATCCTATGGTTACATACCACCAGAAGAGCTCAAGTCTAAAGTTCTTCCGACCGTGACGGAATCTTCAAACTTCGGAGGAGTCATGCTCTGGAACAGGTACTATGACAAGAAAACAGGTTACAGCACTGAGATAAAGGATGCCTTGGGCACAAAAGTTTTTGAATGCGCACGCCAGGTTCTTGCATCAAGGAGATTCAACAGTCTCTTGGCCAAATCTGTGTAAAAATGCATGGCATGTACTACTACTATATGTAATATATATGAATAATGGCAAGCTACTGGGCTTGCATGCCAGTATGCATCTATGCACGTTTGACTACGACAGTACCACCATCTAATAGGTGTTTCTTTATATAAAGATCCACCACTTCTATAAATATGAGGTTTGAGCAACTGTTACTAAGTTGTTTTATCTTAGATAAAATACTATCTAGTACCCTAATCTTATTTTTCAAGTATATCTAGTATAGTAATCTTATTATTTATGATGCGTTCAGCATCTTTTTTTTTTTTTTTTTTTTTACTTCCAGCACCTTAATCTTATTTATAATGCTTTCAGCAACCTAAATCATAAATAAGATTACAGCGATAGATATAATTGGACAAAAAATTTAACATCCAAGTGTTGAGTACATTGGGAAAATAATATCACGATATTGGATGCACTATAAATAAGATTACGGTATTAAGTATACTTGAGAAATAATATCAAGATGCTGCAGGGTACTTTACCCTTTTCGTTCAATTTATATCCAAAGCTTTATATGTAAATACTACTACCTCCTATCCTTTTTGTCTTTTCTTTTTTTTAAACCTAGGCCTCCTATTCTTAATATGAAAGTTAGATGAGAGGCTATATTTGATCTAAATATAAGAAAACACTCAATGAAGTTATTGGACGAAATCTTTTGATTGTGTAATATAATACACATACATTCATTCTATCATTGTACAATATATACGTAATATACATATATGGTAGAATGAAATGTTTCAAGACTTAAGATTTTGACATATATGATCATGGTTGCTGTGTGAAAACCTACTGTATTGTGGTTGATTATGTAATTATAAGAAAATAAGAAATGATAAATAGATATGAGAATTTGCATGACGGGGTTTATATTTCTTCTCTTGGAATATTCTAAGTTGTGAAATTATAAAATACTACGTACTTCCACTCCTTAATATAAAACCTCATTTGACTTTTATTTTGGTCCTAAATGTAAGATTCCAATCTATTATGTCTCTCATATTTATCTATTTTTCCTCAAGATAGTTATTTTAATAATGATAATTCTGGCTAATAAATTTGATTAACGAAGATATTTTAGGAAAACAATACTTATTTATTTCAAATAAATAATTTAAATTATTTTCTCAATATATTTAAATTAATCAACTAGTTCTTATATTTAAAATCAGAAGTAGCATATTTAAAGTCCAAAATATTATTTATTAAGTAAGGCGGCGATCTTTACATAATATAGATAAGGTAGTGGTACTACTTGGGCAGATAAGCCCATCCTACTCTACCTTGCCTAAGCACAGCCCAAAATTGCTTGGGCTTTCATCGGACAAGACTTGGTACTGAACTGCAAAATGCACCTAAATTATATAAGCACCGTTTTATTCATAAAACAAAGAAACAAAAATTATTACTAGCTATCAATTTACGAAAATCTATGTTAATTATCGTCGGCGCAAATGGAGCATATGTTTCAGGATTCAAATCAATCTCAATTAACATAATCCCCTTTAATTATAACTTTTAGATAACTCATAATTCGAAACTCCCACTCAGTTAAATAATTCATACTTATGAATAACGGGATTAATATTTCAATCTTATGAAAGATATTTCACGCAAAAAATATATAATAAAATTTGTATATATAATATACATTTTCCACAAAACTAGAAACATGTTTATTTAATTTTATCAATCCATGTATAATTATTTTATGAGCCATAAGTCGATATAAAGATTTACTGCATTGAATTTCACCTTCAGATAAACGGGATTTATTAGCTAGGGTGACGTCATTCATTCCTTGGAGTTAAGCGCATGATTTAAAATATTTTCCTCGGGTCATTATCATAAAAAATTCCGATATGTTTTATAATATAACATGCTTTGCCTAAAGTATTAATTTTTTTCGTAGGCAAAAAAAAAAGTACTAATTTTTTCAACATAGCAAAACATCATAACTAATTAAAACTCCGCTAACTTATAATTTTTGTCAAAAGTAATTTTAAAATTTTATAAAAAAAAATTAAGTTTAATTAATTTCATTGTTTATTATTAGTTGCTCGTGACAAGGACGGGAGGCATTAGAAAGGCGCCACAAACGTCCAAGTGTAACGGGTATATCAGGACAGGCTAGTCCCCAACCATCATATTAGCCCAACATTACCACGGATCAATTTGGGTATTTCTCACTTTGATAAGCATCTCATCAGGCCTAGATAGTTCATATTAGTGTAACGGGTATATCAGGACAGGCTAGTCCCAACCATCATATTAGCCCAACATTACCACGGATCAATTTGGGTATTTCTCACTTTGATAAGCATCTCATCAGGCCTAGATAGTTCATATTTAATTTGGACTGTCCAAATTAAATTTTTTTTATTTTTATTTGTTTGGTCCAATACAATTTTTCATCCTCAAATTTGAACCTATTTTGGTTTTGGTTCATAAAATTTTATGTATATGGTTTTGGTTCTTGGAATTTACACCATTATAAAACATTAGCTCCAAACAATTAAATTTTGCTGAGTTGGCACAAACGGTGTTGGTTTGGATGATGTGGCTTCTAACTTAAAAACGGCAGTCGGCATGATGAGCCGGACATGAAATTTTTGGGTTGGGGGGGGGGAGTTAGGTGCTCTGTCCTCATGTGCTGCATTTTAAACAAACCTGACTCTTTTTTTTTTTTTTCACCTTTCCTAATTACATGTCCAGTTCATCATGTCATCTAATTAACTCATGTTGTAACGTCAAAAGCCACATCATCCAAACTAATATCATTTGTGCCAGCCCAACAAAACTTAACAGCTAGGAATTAACTTTTGTAATAGAGTAAATTCCAAAGACCAAAACCACAAGTTTGATATTTTATGGATCAAAACTAAAATGGGTCCAGATTTGATAGACCAAAAATTATATTAACTCTATTTGTTTAAAATAAATATTTTGATGGGTATATAATTTAAAATAAAAATTTTCATAACCACAATTTTTTTAAAAAAATAATTTTTATTTAAAAATAAATAACTAAAAATTTTAAATCTAGACAGTGCAAATCTAATGAGGTAAGTACTTGTCATCACCTTGATGAACACAAACTGATTCCACATTACTACTCCTATCTTTTTTTTTAAAACCAAAAGAGAAACGCAGCTCTTAGAGACTATCCGTTGTCATCCCTCCCCTCCAAGTCTCTTCGAATCGCCTCCACCACCACGTCAGGAGCTACTACTATAAGATGGTATCCCAGCGTTGTGACCATAGCAAGCTTGGTAAAAAGGTCTGCTACTTGGTTGCTCTCTCTCAAACATGCTCGAAGACAACTGTCCATTCTCTAGTTCTCACAGGTTTAATTTCTTCAATCAGGGACACATCAACGTGGGTTGAGAGGTCCGCCTCGTTAATTAGCCTGAGGACCTCAGTTGCGTCAGTTTCTAACACTACTTGTCTTGATCCTGAATCCCAAGCTAGTTTAGGCCCCAACAAAATCGCCCAAAGCTCCGTGATCAAAGCATCACTGGTGGAGCCCTTAGGATGAAACCAGATATGAACTCCCCTCGACTATTTCAAATCACACCTCCACTTGCTCCTCCCGTGTGTGTTAAGCAGTCCCCATCGGTATTAACTTTCATCCATCCCTCTGAGGGTGTCCAACTCAGTTAACGAGCCACGGTTTGGCTGCCATTAGACATTACTCCCTAGAGTTTATCGTTCGCACACCTGATGGCTTCCATGGTGGTGGCAAAGGTAGCAGCCTTTAGAGAGGCGTTGCTATGAACTTTTCCTTCAAAGACATACTGGTTTAGCCTTTTCCAAAGCAATCAAACAGTTGTGCAGAAAAGGCTCACCCTGTTCTTTTAAATCAGAGAGAAGACCATGTATGGTGTACATTTTAATCTAGCTTTCACTATTGGCTTTGAAACATAGGCAATTCGTTGCACTTGTAACAGCACAAGCCACAACCTCTTAGTGTTTGGACAATCACGAAGGACATGAGTCATAGACTCCAAGTGGCAATGGCACCACGTACATGAAGCATCACTGGTCAAACCGTGTTAGACACATTATTCATTACTGTCATTAGACTCCTTTGTGATAGCTTGGTGTGTAGTCTTGATGCTGAAATTTTTGTTTCGTTCATACTTCCAGCATGTTATTCTATTTTGCATGGTCAATCACAATCCCCCGTTTTGCATACTTCCAAGCTTCCTTTGTACCCTACACAGCATATTTAACCCGCGTCATTCAATGTCAAGAGCAAGGTTCAAGTCATTACCCCATTTATACTTGCTCCTTATCACCCTAACCCATAGGTCTTCACACCACTTGATTAGGTTCCAACGAAGTTTAGCCGTAAATGCTTGATTCTGCAACCTCATGCATTTAACTCCCAACTTGCCATGTGCTTTGGGTTTGCAAACCATCTCCCAAGCGGCTAAATGGGTCTTTCTCTTGTTTTTTGCCGTGGAGCCCTATATGACGACTCTCTTGGTCTTCTAAATTGCTTAGGAAGAGAAGATGTTTGCATGGTATAGCTCGGAATAGTTGAGGTAACTGCCAAGAGAAGATTGTTCTCTTGGCAAGAGAAAGGGCTGTAGCTCTCAAGTTTGAGAGTCATTTTTTGACTCTGTCGACGATCTCATGGAAACTCTCCTTTGTAACCCGTTTCTCATACAAAGCTACTCCAAGGTATTTGCCCAAATCTGCTGCCATTGAAAACTCAAAGCACTACTAAACAGTGGTGTTGCAATTGTCTATGATCTCCACCGAGTGATTTGGTAGATTTAGTTCCACAAGACAGTGGCGCAAAAAATAAATTCTAGTTTACTCTGTCACACACCTTCTCTAGATCAATCTTTGTTACCATATAACCTTTATTTCCTTCCATAGGTCGCATGGAGTGGGTGACCTCTTTGGCTACCATATTGTTGACTGAACTGTGTCTCTCAGAGAAAAAACTGCATTGATTGGGGCAGATTACGTTACCACTCCTATCTTAATACTCTTTATAATCTGTTTTCATCTATCTCGCATCGTGTTAACATGATATTTTTCTCTTTTTTGATATAGGGTCAAACAGTACATTACAATCTAGGAGTAATAGAACGCGCAATATTACCAGTAAGATGCCTATATAAACTAACATCATACTAAATTACTAAGGCAGAGAATACTTAAGTCAGAATCCAAAGATCCAAAATGCCAACAAATCACCCAATCTGAACATAATGCTCTTCCGCCATGATGCTTTGCTTTATTGGTCCTTAGCTGTGGATAATTGGATATCCACATGTCCACATAATATTTTTTTAAAAAATTGAAATAGACAAATTGGCAAAAATAAAAGAAATGGATAGATGAGCATGGTTATATGCCTCTATTTGGGTACTTTTTTAACCCAATATGCTAACTTTTCTTTTTTTCAGCTCAAGTCTAGTAGAATCAACTAGTCTCTCATAACATAAAGAAATGATGTTCAAATTCTCATTATGAAAAGTGCTCACATTTGCTAGATAACAAAAGTTAACTATAAAGAATTGACTCAAACCACAAAATCACAAGTTCAAATCTTGCTACCCACCTATAACTCACCTAAACTTTTACCTATAAAAAGAATTATTTATGCTTTAGTAGATTATACATTAGATAAGTTCTAACTTGTTGAGGATAGGATAGATCTTCGTACAATATCAAATAGAACTCTATTCATATTTTTAAGTCATTTGTACCCCAAATCCGCAAAATAAAAATGCATTTACACAGATAATTTTTTCACATTTGCTCTTATTAAAGAAATGGCATTAAAAATATATTTTACATATCCCCTCACCTATTTACTTTCTCTCTCTCTTTATTTATTAAGTCAACAAGAGAAAATTGAAAAAAGCTCATTTCCCTACAAGTTACTTATAAATAGAACATATTAGTAATAATTACAATGTATAGTAAATAATACTGCATCAAGTTTATGCTTTTTCATTGCTCAACACTAAAAGATACCAACCCTTTAACTGCTTCATTCGTCTCTACAACCATCACATTATCTGACACATTAGTCACACAATGTGCCACAAATTTTGGCTCTTGAGCATAAAATGAATACTGAAAAAAACTAATCCGATTAGGAAATACCAACACACTTGAAAAATCAGCAATCCATTTGGTTCCATTTCCCCCTACTGTTAACTTCCCGATCGTTGATCTCAACCCCATTCCATTCACATTGTTCTGATCAATCACCACTTGATCAATATCACCAAATTGCCCATCTAAATTCACAATCGGAACCTTCTTATTGGGATCCCCACTAAACATATTATTCATTATATTTAACCCCAGGACTTGACCTTTAATTGACTTTAGCACAATATTGGCATCTCCTAAGAATAACCCATTTGTGACATGAACTTGAACTGGGTCTTCCATGACTATGCCTGTATAATCCAAGTAACAATTATCAATTCTAGTTTGTGAATTCCCAGCTAGTTTCACCAATATGCCTATGCCTCCAAAAGATGTCGCTTTGTTATAACAATGGACTCCAGTAATCATATTAGCTTGGCCTCTAAGTGTAATCCCAATGGCTGCCGAGAAAATTACAACATCTGTGATTGCATTGTCATTACTAGCAAGATCAATGGCGGTTCCTGAGTAGTCTTTCTCACCTATGTCTCCACCAACTGTGGAGTGTTGTCCAAGAAAGCAACTCGAGATAAAGGTTTCATGGCCTCGTTGGACTAGAATCCCTTCTGTCGTGAAGTGGAGAAAGAAACAGCTATTGATTCGGATTCTAGCAGAATCAGCAATTGAAATGCCTCCACCTCGGTAGCTCGAGTCAAAAAGGATGTCTCGAAAGGTTATGTCTTCATAGTGAATCACATCATTTTGAGCTTTCTTGCCAGAGATGCCATCGACATGCAAGGATTCCACTGAATTATCAAGTTGTGAAGAGTTTGATGAGGATAACTCGACCAGATACCTATCACTTGGAAAAGTTTCAGCTGCTCTCAAGCTTCCACTTTTTACCTAATCAACCATATAGATACATGTAGTTAGTTAATTTAATCAATTATACATCTAAGAAAGAGACCTCTATTCAGGTAAAATTTAATTTCTTTGACACAGAAAACTCCTCTTCTTAAGGCATATGCATGAGGAGGGTTATTCCTACCGATTAAGCAAATATCTGCTTTTCTGGCAAAAAATAATAATAATAATATCTGCTTTTCTTTTCTTGCCTCAAATTAAAATCAGGTGAATATGTAATGTTGTGTATTTTGTCTAACACTTTCAAAGGATCCCAATTCTATGTATAGGTAGGGCAATTAAGATCTAATGCAATGTAGGTTAAAGATGAATCAATATAAAGCGGTAAACTAAATTTTATTCATAATTCTTTGCTTCTTTGCTTTCATCATTCATGTCACTTTTTCATTAAATGGATAATTGAATGACTAATTAAGAACATATACATAAATGATCAAATCAAAATTCTTTACTAATATGTTGTTTTCTAGACCATTAAGTTGTGTTCGTCGGAGAAAACCCTCAAATATTGAAAAGCCAAGACAGCAACACAAGATTTTAATTTATTTTATCTGCAACAGCAACATCTTATATTTACATCAGGTCCACAATATAAGTACTTCCTCTGCATTTTGGTAAAAGTGATGATATGGTGTTACACTTTATATTATACTCCTCTAATCCTTAATATAAGAACTAATTAACTAATTTGAATAGATTGAAGATGTTAGCTAAATTAGCTAATATGGTATATTTTTTTTAGAATACCCTTAGCATCTTCCTTAATTCCCTCCCCCCTCCTACTTAATTATTATTAGAAAAATATCAATATGATTAATTTGAAAAAAGATTAATAAATTTGTGAAATAAGTCTTATATATAAAATTAATATAAGCTGCTAAATTAGGTCCTACATTAAGGACTGAAGGAGTATTAATATTATACTTTTAATAATCTGACTAATTCATTGCCAAAACTCAAATGTCAAAATAAATCTATTAAATTGTTGTATTTTACTCAATTTTAAATTCAATATTTATAATTACCAATTTTGCAATTAACGGCTTGTAATTTATAACTCATAAATTCAATTTTATAATCACATTGTCGTGAAATATCTTAGTATTACATTTTATTGATTTTGGACAAAATTTTTCTTGCACTTTACATTTGTATATTTAGTTACTTACGCTAACATGAAAAATAAAAATATAGATAAAAACTAAGATATTTTTAGCCAGCAACATAAAAAGTAAGATTAACACATACATGCACCTGCTCTCACACACATTCATTGCCAATACATATGCTACCTCCGATCTTGACTACAAATGCTAGACAAAGGGCATATTTTTATCTTAAATATAAAAGCCAACTCTTACTTCTCAAATTTATATTTTTTCCCCAAAGTCTCCTTTTTTTTTTAACAGACCAAACTATCCCTATTTTGAATGCACATGATAGAAGGTTTTCATCAAGAGATAATTAAAAAGATATTTTAGAAAAATTAATATATATTTATCATAAATAACTAACTTAACTAATCTTTTTAATATTTACAAATTAATTATTTAACTTTTATACTAAAAACCAAAGAAATACTATCAATGTAGGGGGCAAAGATGTGTTCGATTGAAGGAAACAAAGGGACGAGAAGACGTTAAAAATGTTAAAAATTTGGAGAAGTCTAGTTAGAAATTTTTAATTAATTTTCTTTTTTCTTTTTTAATTTTACATCTTCACCTTATTAAAATTTTACAATCATATTTTTTTTAAATCAAATTTATTAAAAATTTCTCATCATTTATTTTCCTTGTTTCCCACACAAACAAACAAGGGTAAAAGTTAAA